GGAATGCCAGTTTATGTTCATTTCTGCTGATGTAGATTAACTTTAATCTCGGTTTAACTCACTCTTTAAATTCTTTGGAGTTGAATCTCACTCTAAGGAATGAAAATTGAATCAGTTTTGAAAAACAGTGGCTTAATTTTCAATCTTTAAGAGTGAGATTTTTCACTCTTCAGAGTAATAATTTACTCAAAAAGTTTTAGAGAGTACTTTTTATCTTCTTCTAAGAATTAGAAAAAGATGAAGAGTAAATTGAATTGAAATTAAAACTAATCTATATTGATAGAAGTGGACATTAATGAGTCGCAAAGTCCTATTGCTGTGCTGGCGAAAGAGTCACTGACCTCTTGTGATCTCACTTTCCAGTCAATTAATTTACTTACAATTCATTTCATTTATCTATAAAACTAAATTCTCTTGGGTATTTAACATAAATAGAATAAAATTATTGTAAGTATTGGCGTTACGTAAAAATAAATAAATTCGTATAATTATAGAAAGACGAAACATACAATAAACAATTAATATCTAAGAAAACAAACAAAATTAACAGCGTATTAAATTAAGACTGTATTTATATATTGAACGTTTTGCTTCTTGTTCTTTAACTTTATTCAATAAAATTTCGTCGCGTTCGCCAGCATAGTAAAACTAACTTGCGAAAAATAGGCGTGATTAGGCTTGTTTCCCATTGATAAACGTCCCCGTATCCTCGCACGTAGCCATAGACGACTGTGACGACGAGGACACGTCAACCGGAAGCGGATCGAGCGATTCCGGCAAGTGGAACCCGCACTCGGAGGGTGGCGTGGCGCGGGGCACGACAGGGAAACCTCATGTCACCGTGCTGGGCGGCCGATCGTCGAAACGCCGGGCCAAGGCCCGTCGTGATTCGGCCGGTGCCGCTTCGTCGTCAGGCCCCGGCTCGCGCACCGTCGCCAATGGCCTTAAAATGGCACAGAACCAAGCGATCGCTGTGGCCGGCTTCCTCGCCGATGTCGATTCGCGACAATGGCGCGTCTGCGCCTCCTGTTTGTCACACCGAGCGTCATCCTATCACGGCAGAGGTGACTAAAGCACGCGAATAAATCTTTTGCGATCGTATATTGTATATAGACATACTATCAATTACTTTTTCGAACAGTTAAAATTATTTATAAATTACGTTTTATAATATATTGTCTAACATTTTATTTTTTCAAACAACTAATATTTCGTAAGTTATCTTTTAGATAAGATAAAAAAATTATAATTATGATATATAACATAGTTATGATTTATAAGTTTTAGGATCTGTTTTAAACTTTTGTAAAGTAATAAAATAACTACGTATGGAATTTATCATATCAGGCAATATTTTAACAAAATCAGGATAAAAATTAAATATTTAACATTTAAAAACTATCGATCGCAAAAGATCAATATAATATCAATGTATGCTCAAATATGAGCAATAATTCTCTTATTTCATTTGTTCAAGATTTTATTATTCATTTTCTTGATTTATGTTTCAATTATCTCTGCAATTCTTCCTGATAATTTGTTAAAATTTCTATTATTTTCATTAAGAAAGCACAGAATTATTAGATATTATTTCTTTCCTAATCAAAGAATAAGTTTAGCAATTAAAATTTGATTTAGTGTAAAATGATCATAAAGCAATCAAAATAATTTTCTCGAATGAAAATCGAATGAATCTAACATGTAAAATGCAGACTACAAAAGCAGACAGCTTGACGTGTAAGGTACAATCATTTTTCATTCGAACAACCCCTGGATGAAAATTTCCCGAGAGGGATCGACGCAAAAAACATACGAAGAGAGACGTGGATACGAAGCAAAGTGTTGCTCAGGTGGTCAACCGCTGCTCGAAGCACGCGTTCTGTCAGCTTTCAAACTAATTTCCTAATAGTCTTGTTACCTAATGCTTTATTCTTAAATGCAATTCGATTAACACATCTAATACTAGTAATTTCGTAAAGCTTGAAAGAAGCATTCGTGTGTCACTAAATCAGTTTATGTGTGCTATGCTCGCTAATGCAAATGGTCTTTCGACAAAAATAAATCGAAAGCGATAAGGAGGCAGGGTGTGACTTATTCGAGCTAACACTCTGACGCCTCTCCTCGTTCGTCAGTTTCCTGGGCCAGAGAGAGTAATGGAAGCGTCGGCGCAGAGCGCCTGTCCCACAGTATGCCCGGCAGTCCTGCTGATCGAAAGCCGAACTTTGAGGTCATTGGAAGCGCGGAGAGCCTCGTTGGACGGGTGAGTTTCAGAATAACGGATAACTCACGTAGGTCAATAAGTAACTTTAACTGCACCTTAATTTTTGAGGAAAAAATTAAGGTTAATTATTGATTCACCTGTATCACAAAAAAAAAGATAATTCAAAACTTAAAAATAATAAAGCAATTTTTCAATAATGTTCGCGCTGCATCGTACGTTTTTCAGGTCTTGGTGGAACAAGGTTTGGGCAAATTCTGTGATCCGGATTTCGTACGGTACACGTCGCGTGAGATGCAAGAGGCGTTGGACATGACGCGTGAGGAGATGGATCAGGCAGCTCACCAACTGCTCCTGCAGGAGCGACGTGGTCAGCCGTTAACCTATCAGTTACAGCAGGGCGCGGAGCAGCAACAGCTGCAGCCGTGGAGCACTCAGCAACAGACCACGACCGGCATCGGTTACCAACCGTTACAGGAACAGCCACCGAGTCAGCCGGTCTATCGCCAGCTGCACTCTTCCAGCTACCGTCGCAATAGTAACCGACAACAACAGCAACAGCGACAATCACCGTCCTAGCAGGACGAGAAGCTCACTGCGACGCGAACATCGTCCACGTAACCCGAAAATTTCTACTCCCCCTCATTAGGAGTAGTCACCGAAAGACCAAGATCGCCAGTTAACATGAAGTAACTGCGAAGAATCATCGCGACTTCCTCGTCAGGATCTGAATCGATCGCGTGAGTTCGATGGATTCAGACTGCACGGGGTTTAATCGCCGTTGTTGTTGTTGCTCGAAAAGCAATGAGGACGCTTTATAAACTGTTCTGAATATATATAGTTGTAGTTAGGTGCGGAGAGATGCCACTCGACAAAACGCTGATTTAGTCTAGGAAAAAGCGGGCCAAAATCAATGACGAAGGGCGATCGCTCGATGTCGAGATGTCCATCCCGTGATACGCCAATGAACGCGTATTTTCGTTCGAGCAAATATTTTCTAACCGAACGCGCGTGTTCATCCAACATTTTTGATTCATGCGAATCGCTCGCTAACTTGACACGATATCTCGGGCGAGATGCGTGCGAGTTATGATAGAGCAAAGCAAATTGCTGTTCGTTTAGGCACAAGGATATATAGACTTTTAAGATGTATTTTCAACCGCCGCGACGGTTGATCGGAATGATCTAAGGAATCATCGCGGCGCGGAGCTTCATTATTTGAATGTCGAACGATCGCGAGATAAAAATCGACGGAACATCCCGGGACCTGGACTCCCGACGGGATTGGGTTTATTTCTCTAGTAACAATCCTGTAGAAATTTGCCGTTGTTTCCATTTAACGTTAATCTCCGTTTTTGGTTCGATTCTTTATCAAGGGAGAAACGACGATAATGCCGCGTGTACTCCACATACAGAAAATAGACGAATTAAAATGAAAGTAATTGGAAATTTTGTTCTACGAAATTTCTCATCGACTTGAGTGATTAACTTCAAAATTTTTGAAATAATATAAATTTAAACAGTAAATTTTTTATATAATTTAATCTGTATAAAAAGCGTCTGGGAAACAATAAATTAGAAATTCAGAAAGTAAATTCCTCTCTCAGGATTAAAATATATTAAAGTAAATTTCGTATTAGTATTAAAAAGTGAAATATAGAAACCGAGATATCTGAAATTATGAATATTTAAAATTTTTCATGTTAAAGATTAAGTCAAATCTTACAAAAATGGATTTTTCTCAATTATCTTAATTCGTCTATTTTTACAGCGATCTAATGTTTTCTTTTTCAAAACTCATCACCTGTTTTAACTCTTTACGATGCTCCGTAGAATATTTATTATTATCTTATAAGAGTATTCTGACGTGATAACTTTTTATCATCTTACTATAATTTCCTATTGGACAGTAAAAATCTCTCTTCTATACAGACAGGTAAGCGACATGAAGAAGTTAAATAAAAAAGTGTTAAAATAAAAAAAATTCGAGTCGTAAAGAGTTAAGAAAGGATGAAAAACATGTCGGCGGATGATCGCTCTTATTGTTCTCATTATTGATTATTCTCGTTGTCCTTATTCCTATGATTACCGGTTACTAGCACGATAATTACAACTCATGATTCATGCGTATATGGATTCTAGACAAGATAACAAGTGCCTAAGTATCTATAACTTCTCTTGGACCAGAGAAAGACTTTTATCAACTTAGACAAAGTAAACGATTATTATTGCGAATTATTATTGCGCGAGAAGAGAGAGCTGCAAATCGAGTGTGTACACTATTGATGACATGTTGTGACGATATATAGATATTATTCGTATTTGTAATTGTGTACATAACACCGTTGCGCGTATATTTCCGCTGAGATGCGTGAGGATGAATGGCCGATAAACTAGCGCTGCGAGAGATTTGAGATTATTATATTAAAATATATATATAAAAATATATATCTCTAGATGGCAATCTCTATACAAAACGAGAATAGCAGGGCGAGGGTGTAATGGGAACGGGGTAAGTAGATGGGACGTACCTTTTTTCTCTTGAAGAAATATGGTCACGCGATATATGATTTTTATTATGTAAAATGTAAACTCGGATGTGACGATGATCGAACATGCAAGATGAATCACGAATCTCTCTCTCTCTTTCTCTCTATCTCGATCCACGATTACACCCATTCAAGTGCATGCTCAATAATACAGAGCTTTATAAAAAGCCACTTCATAGATATTCTCGACATTCTCATCTCCGGGGGACTCGCGCCGCTTACGAGAGATTTACCGGTAATTTTTAATTAACGACGAGCTAACTGAAAAGTTTCACTCCAATCAGCTAACGTTTGACCTCGAAAATATTGTCATATTGTAAGAAATTAATAGAATCCGACCGAAATTTCGGTTTCGGTTTCAATCAGTTTCGGTAAAAAATCAGGGTTTCGGTTTCGGCCGAAATTAAGAGAAAATTTCAAAGGGTAAACCGAAACTGTACAAGTTGCGTCGGTGAGCATTAAAAAAATAATTATTCGATTTTAATTATTAACTCGTTGATTAAGCTTAAGACAATTTGAGTACAAACTTTGATGTGATCCTAATAATAACTGCGATTTGATTTCTTTAAAAGTTGAGAATGCAATATTATCATATTATTATAGTTAGATATTTTAATAAAATCTTGTTTTTTAAGGAGTACATAAATTTGTTATATGATTTCTGAAAATCATACCGCTTCTGTAGGTCGAATTAATTAAAAAATAAATGTCGATTTCGACTTCCGGCTGAAAAAATGTAACTCCGTTAGCTTCTCTCTCTCTCTTTTTTTTTTTAGTAAGACTATGATCTAAGTTTCGGTTTCAGTTTCGTTTTCAGCCGAAATTGAGTGACAATCAAATATTCGTTTTCAGTTTCGGCCGGAGGTCAAAATGTGGTTTCGGTCGGACTCTAGAAATTAATAATAGTAATCAAAGTTCGCTAGCTTTACAGAAAATTTATAATGTTGAGCGAAAATCGGAATTAAAGACGGAATTAAATCAATCGAAATAAAAATCGTAAAACTATTCAAAATTAATCGGCTTTTAACATACAATAACGAAATGTATATTGAATGTAATATTAAAATAATTGTACGGAATAATTGTAAGTAATGTTAGAAGAGGATTCAAGCGAAAAATGGTTCTAAATAACTTAAGACGCGCCTTCGTGCGAAATTTTTGGAATTAATCGTTTGGAAATAGAGAAAGCGCGGGTCCTCCTCTTTCACGCATAAAGAATTCACTCGTAAATGAATGCAACCGACAGAGAACCGTAGCAGCCGCAGTAATGCAATCTCCGATTACAACACATAGAAATCGCGTTATTGATGTATGTCATTCGAGTGACTTTGAGGTACGCAGAAACGTGAGATTGAAAACCGGAGGGTGTATGGACACTGAAGCTAACTACGTAAATGTTAACTTATAGACGTTGACAAATTTTTAAGCTCTCGTAAATTTTATAAGTACTCGTCAATCGGCGTGGTTCTGGAGATTTGTCATGTAATGCTTCGATTTTTCCCGTTTGTATACTATGTCGAACCATAAAAAAAAGAAAGAATGTAACGTGGAGAGAACGTATAGAACTAATTAGAATTCTAATGTTTAATGAAAGAGACCTCAGATCAGAGTTTCGTCGATTTAGGACGAATGCTGGGCGATTGATAAATCGATTTATTGTTATACGGATTGCTAGTTTGGAGTACTTTCAGAACCACGTTCCTCGGCAGCCTTTCGGCTTGTCTACGACCAATGCAAACTCCACTCTCTCACACACATCTCTTCGCAAATTTTCCTACGTACAACTCGCCAATCTATTTTCCCACCTTACGTTTCTTTCATTCAGATTATTTATTGATTTATTCTGATTAAGCCATATTAATAATTTATTTTATTATTTTGTTTTATTCTAACACTTTCTCTCTACAAGTCCAAGAGCTCCCTGCTTGTATCGATGATTGACTTGTAGATCGCCCGATGTATGAACGATCGAAGATTTCTTTCCCTTATCTTTGATTTTGTCTCTTTAATCGTTGATTGCGTTGCATGTCCCACGTTTGACGCTCTATATATTAATTTCACTTGATTATCCCTCCCTTCTTTTTATAACTATTCTCTCTCTATATATTTTTTTTATTGGAAGTGATAACGCGAAACCGTTATTACAAAATACATAGTATATATATATGTATATATACACACATGTGTGTGTATGTATGTATATAAATATATATATATACATACACACATATGCCAAATTTTTAGAAAAGAGTTGGATGATGTTGAAGCAGTAAGTGTAAATTACAGAGACTACGGGTCCGTAAACATGACCACAAGTAGAATTTTTTACGCTCTGTAAGGTAATATAGATCGCCGTCTGTTCCTCTCGTCTCTCGCAGACGGAAGAGATACAAAATACAAAAATAAAAAAAGTAAATAGAGCGCCACACGGTCCAGAACCACTGGTTCCACCATAATGTTTAAAAATCCGAAGTCTGTTTATATCTTATGATGTCTGAATAAAAATTGTCATAGTAATTAAAACCCCGTGCAATCGATCTTTTTCGTTTATAATATACGTACACATATACACACGTATACACATATACGTGTATATTTTGCTAGGATTTAACACTAGACAACCAAAGCAGTTGAAATAGTTAGTTTTATCAAATTTACAACAGTGCATTTTCCATAACTTTTGTTGCAATATGTAAATGATTAAATTTATTTTTCCCCATTCATTCTTTTTTTAAAGTGATATATATATGTATTTAAATAGTAGAAATAGGTAATTAATCGTCACTATTTCTAGTGTTAATAAAGTTTTCAGGAAAAGGAAAGATATCAGCGTTGGAATCTACAAGATCATCATCTAACGATTAAATGGTGAAAATAAATGAGAGATAGATAGATTATTTGTGATTTAAAATTGAAAAGAGATTATTTTGCTTGCGAAATGGACGTAGCTTCATTTGTGCGCAATAGAATAGTCAATTTTTCAATGTTCTAATCACGATGTTTGGCTGTCTTTTTATACCGTTTTACAATAGAATAAAATTTACAACGAAACGTGTTAAGTTCCGTTTATAATAAGTCATAATAAACCGATAATGCGGAAAAAAATATGTATATGTCATAGATTATTACGAAGTTTATCGTAAATATCGTATAATATCGTGTGGTAAAGACACGTATAGAAAGACCAATATTTTCCAATATTTTCATGAGACTAAAAAACGATCAGGGAGGAACGGTCGAGAATAACATAGTTAAAACCAAGAAAAAAAATTATGAACTGATTGGAAAAAATATAATCCAGTCAATCGAGAGAAATTTAAAAAGGAAGCCGATATGAAATTTACCCCAAAATATTTTTTGCTTAATCTAGGATATTCTGTATATACCTACATATATAAATGTGTACGTTTTCATAAAATGCGCGTCAGCAGGACCAATTACGTATTTCTACTGTATTAAGGTTGTTTTTCGATCTATTTGTTACGAATAGTGCTTGAGTCGTTCAAATAAAATTATATTAATAGTCGGAAATTAATTAAATATTAATTGTAAATATTATTAATAATAATAATAACGTCGAGTATAGTGTGACGCAAAATTTCTCAATGAAAAAGGGATGGCGTTTAGCGTGCGTGATAATGGAACAAAGTGCACAATAATTATATTCATCTATTATGTTAGATTATAGTGGCGTACAGACAACTATAGATTTGTCAAAGGATGCATCTTAATTATATTTCACGTAAGTTTAGAGCAGTGCGTAATGCAGTGTGTTTGAATATGGGATATTCTAAACTTGGAATGTTGTGAAATATGAAGTGAGAAAAATAGGAAATAAAATTGAACGGTAACTAAAATGAGATTTCTTCACGAAATCCTATCATTTTGCATCTTATTGCCTTCTATAAAATAATTTTCTTTTTTTTAGCGATATATGT